TGCAAGTTTTCTACATCGTTCGCGCAATCAAGGCTTGGAAGTCCCGAGCCGAGGCGTAGAAAATATTACTTCGCGTTAAAAGTTTTCAGAACGCGAGGACTCGGACGGAAAGAAATCTCAACGCGACCATCCTACCATCCGAGCGAAGCCACGCTGTTCCAATTCGTAACGCGAACATGTAGCGAGGCATACGTTCAAGTCATAGTCTCTGAGATCCAGATGGAGATGATACCAGGGAAAAAACGTGGTTCAAAACTATTTATATACGACAACTATATGTACCATGCGGATTTTAGAAACCCAAATCTCTTTTTTTGCTGTAAAAGAAAATCAAAGAAATGCTACGGACGGTTAAAAAAAGAAGGAAATTCATATGTATTGAAATGTCGACACAATCATGTGAAGCAGCCTGAATGAGAATGTATGTATGTATGTATGCATGTATGTTATCATCTGCAAGTTTTCTACATCGTTCGCGCAATCAAGGCTTGGAAGTCCCGAGCCGAGGCGTAGAAAATATTACTTCGCGTTAAAAGTTTTCAGAACGCGAGGACTCGGACGGAAAGAAATCTCAACGCGACCATCCTACCATCCGAGCGAAGACGCGTTGTTCCTCCTCGTCACGCGAGCATGTACCCATATAACATCGGACATTCTATGTATGTGCATTTTTTCTCCATTATGTGAAAATAATATTCTGTATGTAAAATGTACATACATTTCATATACATGATTTGAATATACATTATAAAATATAATATGTATATGCATTAATGTATTTCTTATGTATATACATCACACAACATTAAATGTATATACATTTCACATACATAATTTGAATATACATTGTGGTATACATATACCACAGTAATTGAATTACAAGAACAAACGATCGAATAAAGAGGCAATTCCGCCAGAGATGACTGCAAGACCAATATTTGAACCACCTCAATTGCAACAACCAATGAAAACTCCCATCCTAGCACCTGGGAAAAGAAAAGCAAAGATAGTGTTTAAATTACGCAACATGTTTGATAATTTCCTCAACTCTAGGAATGTAGATAAGGAGGTACTCGATAAAGATGTGCAACATGGACCGTCAGACCGTCAATACACCACCAGAGAAGGATCATACCGGCGATAAATCTATTCAGGCAACCTTCGCACGCTAAGCGACGGAGTACTAAATTATGCATCATGTTTGATGATTTCCTCGACAACTCTAGGAATGTAGATAAGGAGGAACCCGATAAAGATGTGCAACATGAACATGGTATGTCTATATTTAGATAGAGATTCGTTAAATATTCATGTTAATATTAATGCAGAGTTTTGGATAAATTTAAATTTTTAGTTTCAGAAGTGCGTGTAAAAGAGACTGTTAACGAATTAAATCTGCCTACGAAAGATTTGAGTTCATTCGCGAAGATGAAAAGAAATAGCGTAGAAGGTAGCGTGGAAGACGACAACGTGGACGCGGCAATGAAATTCGCGAGCTTCGTGACGCTGAGACATAGACCGTCAATACACCACCAGAGAAAAATCATACCGGCGATAAATCTGTTCAGGTAACCTTCGCACGCTAAGCGACGGAGCACTAAATTACGTAACATGTTTAATAATTTCCTCGACAACTCTAGGAATGTAGATAAGGAGGAACCCGATAAAGATGTGCAACATGAACATGGTATGTCTATATTTAGATAAAAGATTCGTTAAATATTCATGTTAATATTAATGCAGAGTTTTGGATAAATTTAAATTTTTAGTTCCAGAAGTGCGTGTAAAAGAGACTGTTAACGAATTAAATCTGCCTACAAAAGATTTGAATTCATTCGCGAAGATGATCACCAAAACTGCTGCTAAACCTGCGGTACAAAGTACCGTGAACATCCTTCCAGTGGAAAATATAATTTATGAAGCTGAGGAGGTGCCACTATTACCGAAAGCGATATTAGATGCGACTACTTCAGAAAGAGGCACTAGGTAATCATATATTTTATGAATGTTCTTCTATTATTAATTTTCTGTTATGAATAAAGAACTAATAATATACAATCGAGAATTATTGCAACATTATTAAAATAATGTTGCAAATCTATATTTTAACAATGTTTTTAAAGCATTGCAATATGCATTGCAATGTTGCAACTTTACTGCAAACTTCTGTGCTGTATGGGTTGCTTCGAGCATCGTGGATCTTAAACCGCCGTCCGCTGACGTTGGTTACGAGAGAGAGAGTAATGAATATTCCCGTCGACGAGTCGTTGCTACGGGAATCAACAACGGAGAAATTGAAGTTATCGCGGGGCTGTCAAAACCGTTTGGACGTGCTCCCGGTGCATTTACGATATTTAATCTGTTCTTTCTGTAAAGCTATGTTCGCATTTTTTTTTTTTATGTTCTTTCGAACGCGTGTCTCGTGCGTCAAGTCGGAGTGCGCGTACTAACGTCCGCGAGCGCAACAATAGTATGGGACTATTAATAAGATTAGAATTCTTAAAAATTAATAACATAATTTCTAAATTTCTCCGAGCTCGGCCATTAAAATGTATTGCAATATATGTACTCGTACATACGTAATTTTTTTTCTCTTTCAGGCAAAGAAATTTTTATTCAATTAAATATTTTTCTGTTTTTAAATAAAGTGAAAGTTGGAAGTAGAAGAAAAAACAATATGGCAGAAATTTTTTCGTACGAACAAATTAAGTACGTTGCTTTTCATTTTTTTAAAAGACCTAATAGCAAATTGTAATATATCGTATCAAATTAATTCTTTATAATATCAAAATAATCTACAAGACATTTACTATCCAAATAAAACAATATTACAATTTTACTATTTGGGGAGAGGGAGAGATGTCCAGCTTAATAGAGATCAGAAAATATAGAGAAATAAATCACGAAATATCGTACAACTTTATTTTGTGGAAAACAGAAAAATTCAACATAAAATTATTAATTAAAAAAAAAAGAAGAAAGATATTTAAATATTATTTTAACAAAAATTTTGGATAAAATAAGATTTGTAACTTATTGTTAGAAATAATTTATCAATCAATTATGTAACGCACGCCACGATCAAATTCGATCATTCCGCATGCAAGATTTACGATTGGGTTGAATATATTTTTTATTTTAATCTTTTTCTTGAATTCTATATTGAATCATTCTTTAGGACTTATTATTTGAGATAGCGTCATATACAACGTAAACATAAGGAATATGTTGAAAATAAGGAATATGTGTGTGACCATTGCGGAAAATGCTTTAGGTAATTATCCCCAATTAACCTAATATAAATAATTAATATGAGATAACGGATCAAAGCGGATCTTGGTGCTCAATAATTTTCCATTGTATGAATCTTACAACTTTTGGTTCAAATAAACCGCGCCCCGCAAATCGTCGGACTTTCAATGTAGCTACAAACCGAATAGTTCGTAATATCACAATTAAATTGCCAAAGGCAATCTAATAAATCGATTCTCGTATAGTGTTCAAAGTGCCGAGGAGGGACGATTCGCGCGCGCCTTTGCCCGCGCTGTGCATGCACGGAACATAATCGACACATGCGGGGCGCGTGCGAGCAGTGATCGGTGGGGGCGGCAGAGCACCGAATGCGAGAAAAACAACTTGGAAAAAAATAACTTGCAAACATTTCCATATTTGGTGTTGTGTAGCAAAGTTTTCGATCTGATCAAAAGAAGGCTTTTTCCCGCGCAGCTCAGACCTTGCAAGTGTCTCGGGTCGCTATCGTCTGCCGCTCTCTACCGCGTTGAGTTCGCCCGAGATTTCCAGCACTTCTCACTGCCGCGACATTACGCGAAATATTAGATCACCACCCGCAACTGTTATATCTACTATTCACATTACGGTCATTGTAATTAGCGTGGTTGTAATTTGTCAGAATTAAAACTTGTGAAAAAATCAAAGGACCTCGCTCATCTCGAATTCACGACTCGGCTACCTGGCTCCTCCTGCTCCTGGTCCCTTCTCGACATTAATTCCCACTCAAACATATAGCATCTATTAAATCCCGTGAAAATACTAGATGCTCTACGAATTTATTAGATTGTCTTTAGCAATTTAATTGTGATATTACGTAAAGTGAGAAATTTTAATATTGATGTAATATCGCCATATATTAAATGATATTTATCAGTGATAGAATTATGTGGATTTAAACGCTACGTGATATTTGTTATGTCAACAGATTTAAAGACAATTTACGTATTCATAATTCAACACATTTGCCAGTGGAGAATCGGAATATCAGTGTGATATACGCCAGAAGTTTGCAAGATGCTCTCATCTCACTTGTCACAAATATATTCATAGTGAACGGCCTTATAAATACAACGTGTGCTCGTTCAGTTTCAGTCATGTAAGCAACCTGAAACGGCATCAAATGCGGCACTTTAAAGGTGCTATTTTATGCTGATGCTCGACGCTCATTTTTAGCATCAAAACAGATCACATGATCAAAATTGACGAATACCAAGAATCAATTTTGATTATGTGATCTGTTTTGATGCTAAAAATGAACGTCGAGCGCCAGCATGAAAAGGTACCTTTAATCAGATGCGACTCGACGGTGTGCCTGCTGGGAATATTCCGGGTGACCTCTCGTCACATTAGGGTACACTCGCGTGGTTCGTTGAACGGCCGCTTTCGTGTCAAGTTCGTCACTTCGCCGCCCTGTGCCCGCCCTTGCCCTCCGACTCTTGTTACCGCCACCCTCCTTCCTCACTTTTAACCGCGTTTCGCCTCCTCTTCCGAGCACTTGTTGCATGCCCGTCCACCCTCGACGAGTTCGTGAGATCGTTACCACCGAAATTCCGGACGCTCGTCGAGAAGTCTTCGAAAGTCGAAGCCGCGGGGGAAAATCGATCGGGGGAAGTGGACGGGGTCGCATAATTCTCCCTCAGCTCAAAATAACTCCCTTTCACTCGATTATTATACATACGTACGATAAAGAATAATAATATAATTTAAATCGATGGAATTCTCTTAATATTATATATCTAAATGCAATTTCAAACTCGGTTTTATCATTTTTTATAATAAAATGATTTCACCGGAATCACAGAAAATTTCGAATTTCTTCTTTTATGATAAACAACAATTGATCGCCATCCAAGAGGGTTAAGACGCGTGCACACAAAAATAGAGAAGAGCGAGAAAAGAGCGTGCGCATAAACGCATTTCTCACAAACGGCTGATCGCAGAAAGCGATGAAATTACTAACGTAAATACCGGGGTGCGCACGTGTGTATGCAGATTGCGTTCGATTAGCATAATCTGGATTACAGTCAAAGGTTGCACACGCGACAATTGTTTCAGGTCTGGCTTTCCGTCCGCCGCGCCATTCCCATTTTAAAGGTCGCTGCATTTCCCGTGAGAACTCCTTGTAAAAAAATTCTATCGTTCGTCCTTCATCACCAAATATCTAATATCGCAAAGAGGGAAAATAATTTTATACAACGGGAGTTATCATTAAACGTTGTATATTATCCCAAACATCTTCTCTTATTAATAAACAAAAAAAAACAGAATTCATGTCTTTATGTCAAATTATCGAAAGTTTATTTAACAACAAAGTGAGTCTCATTTTAAAAATTTAAGAATGGAGCGTCAGAAATCGAGCATTCGTACAACAGGAAAAATAAACAAGAAAAGAGAAACAGGCGAAATACAAAAATCGCTTAATGAGAAAGTAAACAGCTATAATTATTTTATAATTATATATTTTTTTCACCTAAGTCCCGATATGGATTTAATGTCACACAAGAACTTCCGTTGATACCTTATTGACTGCGTGCGCTTGACTTACATATGTATAATTTTATCTATCATGTGGGATCCACCGACAGCGTTTATTTATTTTTTAATTATTTAATTATTGACTGAGTGCGTAATATTTTATAATATATGTTAATTAATTTATTTATTTTTTTTTTGTATGTTCAAATTAATGCGATTGAAAAAGGCGTAGTTAGGCTGAAACTAGTATCGCGATACATTGCATGAATAAATAATTATCGAACATCCATTAGATTTATTTGCTCGTCTTTGGCCTAATTATTTTTACGTTTTTATTATATCGAGCAGAATATTTTATCATTTTGTTGCGTATATATTTTTTAAACCAAAAATACGAACAATCGTTATCAAAAAACGCTGTGAATAGTGTTCGTAAACGTCAGAGTGCAAATTATAATATATAAATTCACTAATTCCATTTTACACATATGCTTAAGCACGTATAATGGATTCCTGGATATAAAACTAATGAGTTATCCTACATTATTAGTATTGCGTCTTCGGGAATACGCTAATATCATTATGACTATATTGCCATATAATAAAATACAAAATTGGCAGATACTTTTAATGAGTACCTTTGTGCCACTCTATGTCCATCAGTTTAACATTTTCCTTTATAAAATTAATTAGCTGAAATAAAAAAATATATTTAGTGCCGCACATAGCAACAAGTCAATTTATAGAAAACAATTCGATAATATGCAATTTGCAACAAATAACTTTACAAAGTTTTAAATAATTTTTTGAAAACTTTACTAGAAAGCTCTGTCGAGGCTTTAACTAGGGCTGCGTTCCTTTTGGCGGTTACAGCGTTTATAAGCATCATTTGTCTTTGTTCAATATTTGATAAACAACAAGGAGGAAATGATTTTGTGAGCGCTGTAAGCAGCTGTAAGCACCAAACGGAACGCAGCCTAGGTGTAAGTAGGGGGAGATGGGGATCCTTTGTACACGGGGCACATACATTCAGTGATTCGGGAAGAATCACGCAGATTCGGAACACGTATACATATTTAATTCTTATTGCGCGGCCACATGCCAGAAAAATGTCATATTAGTCAGACTACGTAAACTGACAGAGCAGGATATTACGTGTTTTAGCACTGAGTAAATTTTCCAAAATATTTCACAACAATTAAATATTAACCATTATATTTTATTATAATTGCATACATAATTTGTCCGTAAGTCGAGAAGTGTTGCAAACATCGTACAATATAAAAGAAAAACTGACGAAAGTACCACATACCAACATTGGAATCATTGAATTATTGTCAAGTGCGAAATTAGCTTCGGAAACGTAAGTATTCTTAAAATATCCTACTTTATTGTTCTCACTATTTTACTAAGAAAATAACCAAAAAATTATTTTTACAGAACAATTAAATATTAACCATTATATTTTATTATAATTACAGACATAATTTGTCCGTAAGTCGAGAAGTGTTGCAAACATCGTACAATATAAAAGAGAAACTGACGAAGGTATCACATATACCAACATTGGAATCATTGAATTATTGTCAAGTGCGAAATCAGCTTTGGAAACGTAAGTATTCTTAAAATTTCTTACTTTATTGTTCTCACTATTTTACTAACAAGAAAATTTTGTAAGAAAATAGCAAAAAAATTATTTTTACAGAACAATTAAATATTAACCATTATATATTTATACCATTATATTTATTATAATTACAGACATAATTTGTCCGTAAGTCGAGAAGTGTTGCGATCGCGATACAGCAATCGAGAACGTGCATTTAATGCATTTTAAAATTTAAAAAAAAGGGCCTCGTCTGAGAAAAGAATTATTCTTTTACAAAAAATACATCATTGCTTATATTAATCACAAGATTGATGAGGAGACTGGCAGAATAATCGCATTAAGTTTATAGAAATTTTTTTTTCTTTTAATCGCAACCGATCATCTTCAGCGAATTCAACAATAATAACAATAACAGTCAAATTAAGGAAAAAAAGAATTCGTATCACGTTATTTCTGTTCGTTAGCACGGAAAAACGTCTGATACAATCAGTGATCATTCGCGATTTCTTTGTATTCAAATATGGATCATTTTCGTCCAACTACGTCGTTAGAATTTGGTCTCAACGAAACAGCAGCAGCAGTATTAGAACACTCGCGAAATAGAACACAGAAGAATTAAATAAAACATGAAAGAATTAAGACGAGGTAAGTGTTAATCGCATATATTATTTAAAAAATATTTAAAATTCCAAATATTTTATACAAATGTTAAAATTAAACTTATTCTGACTCTTCAAGTATTAGAAGAAAGAAGTAAAAGAGACCGTAGGGAAGAGGTAACTCAAGCGATTTCTTTTAGAGTAAGTAAATCTTTCACTATTATAAATAAATGTACAATAAATATATGTAAGTGATTTAATTAAAAAATAAAAAAATGCATTAAAATAATTTTTATGTAGAGAGCGGCACAAAGATTTACGGACAAAATTCTTCTTTCGGGAATTCAGTTTCTCGTTTATTGATCGTTTCAAGCGAGCTTCAAATTGGACGGAATCTCATTGTCGTTCATAAGCGACAGGGAAATTTCTTTCTCGTTTTCTTGTAACTTTCCAGTCTCTACTTAGGCCGGTGGACGCATTTTAACACGAACTCATTTACATACGTTCAACTTTTGCGTTTTCGCGTTTCATGCGTTCTTCAACGCGGGACTCATGTATGGGACAGGAATTTCATCCTGCTCTTTGCAGGGGTGCCTCCAGTGTACTGATTAAAAAAATAAATTCCGAAAAAAAATGTCATTCTTTTAAGATATGTAAAAGCAATAAAAGTTAGAAAGTTATGAGAATAATCACGCAAAGATCAGAGATTACTCAACTCAAATAAAAGTAAGTAAAGAAAATAGTTGTCAGTAAAATGGATACATGAAATATGAATTCGGTAGAATGTGTCGGGTTTGATGAAGAGAAAAGTGAAAAAAAGAAATAATCATTACAAAAAATCGGCTTATTGAGAAAGTAATTCATGCTTGGAATCATCAGTTATAGATGCAACGGACAGTAAAGATATGTATTAATAGCATGTCAAGAAATATCATGATAATTATTCCCTGATTGCCCTGATGGTTTAATAAAATATTTAAAAAACATGAACCTTTTTATTTTACTAAAATAAATAAATGTTTGACAAATACTACTAAAACAGTTTTTTAACAGTTTAAATTGATAAAAAAAAACAACTCAAAAGTAACAAAAAAGAAAACTATTTATTTTACAATTAGATGTGAAAAAATAAAAATAGTAGTTATTTTCGGTCATTTAAGATGAATCTACCAAAAAAATCTAAGATATCTAATAATACGACTAAAAATTATATAAGCATTACAAATATAATTAAGTGTACAGGTGCGCACGAGACGAGATAAATCTCGATCTCGTCTCGAAATCGAGACGAGATTCGAGATCGGGATTACTTATAATATTCGAGATCAATATCGAGATTCACTACATCAAGATCTCGACGATATCAAGATTATTTAAAATTCTCATTAAGATCTCATTGAGATGTCCACAAAATATTTTATTATTTCACCGATCTGATGACACTATATGACGTGACTGCTGCATACAACAACGAAATGCATTGCTACAGACATGAAGGATTATTATTGATAGAGGTATTATAAAATGTTTTATTTTTACCCTGCGTAGTTCCATGGTGAAAATACACAAGAAGTTATGGCTTCTGTACAGCGCGAAGTTCGTCATACACGACACGCGATACTCAATAATGCACATTTTTAGATTGAAAACATCGGTAAAGTATCTTTAGATATCGCGCGTCGTGCATGACAAATTCGTGTGTAAGAACCAATAGTTCTAAAAACAATCGCAATTTTTCCTTGTCGGCACTTCTCTTTTCCCGAAACTTCTACTGCAAGTTAAGGTATGAACACCTAATATACAGTAATATACAATATACATACTTTTCTATAAAATTTTAATACGTTTATTTATACTTATAAATAAAACTAGTTATGCATTTTTTGAACTAATTTTTGTATTCGCCAAAACCTCGTTAAGATTTCGTCGAGATTCGAGATCAAGATCAAGATCATATGTTCGAGATTCTCGAAAATCCAAGATCAATATACATATTTCAAGATTTTTCGAGAATGAGATTGAGATCGCAGAAATTTCGTCTCGTCTCGTCTCTAGTTGGGAGAGAAGTGGGGAAAACTTTTAAATACAAGCAGAAAGCGTACAAACAGGCAGAGACATACAGTTTACTAACAGTTATAGCAACCAATCCGTTGAAGTGTAAAGAGGATACAGGCGGATAACGGCGATTTAAATCAAGTAAGTATTAATTAAGAACAAAGAAAAAGCGATAGCACTATACACTCAGGGAAATGTTTCGCCGTTGCAGCTATAAGAAAGTAATAGATGACAAAAAAATGTTAAAACAAGTTACAGAAACCTAAAGAACTCAAAAGAAATGTTGTCTACAAGATAGAATGTGCGAACTGCGATGCAAGTTATGTAGGACAAACGGGAAGAAAATTGTCAACCAGAATTAATGAGCATCGGAAAGATATTAACAGAAATAAAGATCGGAAGAGCACACGTCTG